GGGGAGGGGGAAGGACAAGAATATAGAAAAAGTAACGTCTTAAAGTATTTATTAACCTCTCCATTGGCAAAACTCAGTTTAGTTAAAAAAAAAGTAAAAATTAAATAAAGCTCCTAGGCAATACCACGTGATGAAATGCAGCGTTCTCTCGCAGGCTAGATTTTAAAATGGAAAATCAACTCCTCCCCCCAAAACCTACACTAGAAGATCAAAGGGCTAATTAGTTTGTAAGGCTGCGTGCGAATCCTGTAGCTTTGAAGGCACAGAGGGATGATAAACACTTAAAGGCAGTCATCTTAAATTAACGCCTTTCCACAGAAGAAAATTCTCCCGCGCGAGGCAATTGTTTCCTTTCTGCTGCTCCTCGGTGTGTGAAACGCCCCGTAAATATTTCCACGTGCGGCCAAGGAGCTCCGGTCCGCCTGCCCTGCGGAGCGGAGGCTTCTCCCCATCTCCCAAACTCATCTATGGCATTTCGCAACGGTTGGTGTTGGGAGGTGCTGTCGTACAGTACCGATTATTTGGACCGAACGTCCTCGTTTTCCCATCTTTTAAAGCAAAAGCTTCGCTCCTTTGAGTTTTGGCCATCGGCATCTGCTCCGGGAGAAGAAACCGGGCGCTTTGTTACACACCATTGTGCTCCTGTGAAAAATCTAATGAAAAAAACCTCACTCGCAATTCCTGTCAAGTAAGTTTTATGGCTCCTTTTAAATAAATGCTTGTGTGAAAAAGAAGTGAATTATAATAGAGGGGGAAAAAAAAAAAAAAAGAGTTTTAAGAAGCGAAGGAGAACTAAAGTCTGCCGGTTGTTTGCACTGCCTTAAGCGCCTATAAATCCATTACTTAAGGGCAGCTAAGACGAGCGCGCGCGTACCGCGGCCTTCGAGCCCCGCAGATTACTCTGCCATCAATAAAGGATGAGGAGAGAATACATAACAGATCTTTTAGCCTCTCCTCTCCCCGTATTTATCTACTACAAAGACACAAGAGTGTTCGACAATTCTTCCCCTAGAGACCCAGGCCTAAGGTGCCAACTGAAAATTACTTCATTGTCTTTTTAAGTAATGGACTCATTAATTCTAATGGGTATTGATTGAGGAAAAATACATTACGTCCTTATTAATGAGCCCGTCCTAGCACAAAGGAAACTCTTGCATGAAATAATGAATTTCCCCGCTAAGTACGAAACAGAAGACGGTAAATTGAAGAGACGGCGACACGATGCATCTCGCGCGTCTGCAGGTGAAGGAGAGGCGGCGGCAGCCCCAGCTCCTCACCATCCGCCCCTCCGTCCTCTGCAAGGGGCAGCTGCTCCCTCTTGCTGCCTCGTTTAAGGCAACTTGGGTTCACCAGAACTAAGATCTCAAATTCTGCGACAATAGTCGCATCCCAATGAAGACAGATCCCGGATCCGGCCGGATAACTGCACGTGCTACGCTTTCTCCAGGCTGAAAATAGACCTTATCTATCATCTGTCAACATCTGCTTATCACACGTCAGCGCTATTTCCCAGGCTTCACAACTACTGCCATTTTTTTCAATTTTTTTTTTTTTTTTTTTGCTTCTATTTTGAGACAGAAGCTGGAAGGCTCAGGAAACGTGACTGTAGTTTCTCACTGCCCTCCATGCATACATTCACTTATTTTTTCATTAAAATAAAGTTGAAAAAGCAGCGATGGGAGAGAAAACAGAGGAAAAGAAAAGTCCAGAAGTACAGAAATGAGATGACATTCTCAGGTGAGATCTTAAGGATGGGAAGTCACGCAGGATAAATGAAAACATGTTACAGCATCCCAGGGTGGTGGGGGCTGGAAGGGCCCTCTGGAGCTCCCCCATCCCACCCCCCGCCAGAGCAGGGGAACCTCCAGCAGTGGCACAGGACGGCGTCCAGGCGGGTTTGGGATGGCTCCAGAGGGGGAGACTCCCCCACCTCTCTGGGCAGCCTCCGC